TGGTACAAACTGTCAGAGCTTATCCTGCTAACCAGTATGCAGCCATGTGTTTTATGGAGCCCCTCTGCACTTTGTCAGTTTCCTAACTGTCCCAGGCTGATGCTGATTTACAAGTAACTCATTGGATGAGAGGGGCACAGTGAGTTACTTTTCCCTGCATGTACACCTATCCTAGTATACCATACTATTCCCTGGCTAGGTTTCGGAACTGGTAGAGCTCTTACTGCACAATCCAGCACTAGGGCTGTGGTCTAGCAGCGCCCAGTGGCCCCATGGCACCTTACATTTGTTCTTAGGCGACCCAGGAATCTTAGTTTTTTCAAAAACGGTGAGAACCTAGACATTTTCCAGACTGGTTAGGTGGGGGTCTTTTTCAAAATTACGAAAACTAAGAGAGGTCTTAGTTTTCGAGATTGCGAATTTACCGTTAAATTTGACCTAAAATTCAGTGGAAAGGATTGGACAGGAGATAATTTGACAGATTAGACCTATTTGGTTACAATTTGACTTTATCTTTCGACGGAATCGATTTTAGGGGGTCTTAGTTTTCGTAATCTCGAAAACTAAGACAGGTCTTAGGTCTTAGGTCTTCGAATTCGTTTTCGAGGATCTTAGTTTTCGTAACACCCCTCCTTCAGCTTACAAAGCCGTCTTTCCTCCCTATTGACACGACAACTGAATTTATTTTCGACCTGTAGTTTTCGCCCCCTTTTCCTTCTTCGTAGAAAGAAAAAAACCCGCAATCGATGATGCATTCCATCTCGTCGTTTCCAGAATTTCCAGGATTAATTTCTATGACCTCGGCCATGGTTTCCACGTGTCTAAAGGGGGCTGAGCTCCAGGGGGCAGACGTCAAGCTACTTGTCAAGTTACGTATTTATTAACAAAATTAACGAAAACACCTTCGTATTGGCTGGTTAAGCATATTGAAGATTAACTTGACAATGTTGGTCTGCTAGTCATTAAAATTTAAAACACAATGGTACGTGCTTTTGATAAATTATCACGGATTAACGAAGTTTACTTGCTAAATTTAGGTCTGAGAAAGACCAAACAAGAAGCCACAGCACCGCAAATATTTTCATTTCACCGAACACCGCTGCGTGAGAAACCCGAACATCACACACCGAAGGATTTGAGATCACCGTAACAGCGCAAATTGAGATTTCATTCACCGCATCACTGCAGTAAAAAAAACATCAACACCGCAACACCGCAAATCCCCTTGTCCCGAGTTTCCTTGACAGCTGGATTACACCACATGTTGTGAAGCCCTTTGTGAAGACGTCACGTTTTTTCTTCGCTTCGTGATATTACAGTAACACGGGAAAACCTAACCGGATTTAATATCGAATATGAGCTTTATATGGGCTCTTACTCTAATGTCCACTTGCTATCCGCCAAAACTTAGCGCGTGTGCTTAAGTTATTCAGCACTGTCACAGGTAGCGCAATCTCAATCGCAGAGACACGTAGAAAANTGAAAAAGACATGTTTTGCTTGTCTTATCTAGTGTATCCAAGAAAAAAGTTCCCTCTTGTTGATGATCTTGTGTTGTGTGAATGAATATTATGTTGGTAATTAAATAAATTACTTATTTGAGATGGCGATGTGTTATTTGAGACGTCGTGCATTAAGATTGCAACTGACTTGAAGTAAAGAAGATCTAGAGGTAGTAGATTTGAAGAAATGAAAAACGGTACTGCGTGAGTTTTATAATCACAGGAGAACATGAGGCGAAGGGCACGTTTCTGAAGGCATAGGATTTTGTTTCTGTGAGTTTTGTCTGCTCGGCCCCACGCTGTTGCACCATACAATAAATAGGGTTGAATCAGTGACCTGTATATATGTTGTAAAGTATTAAGTGGTACAAGATGTCTTAGCCTAGCAATAATACCAGTCACTGTGCTTATTTTAGAGGCTATGTGTAAAATATGTTGTTTCCAGGAGAGGCTCTCATCAATAAGCACGCCTAAATATTTAACACAACTTTTACGTTCCAAAGACGTGGAAGAGTTGGTATGATGATTGAATATTTTTAAATTAACTTCATATCTGACTTTTTTTTTGTCTTGGTGGAAAAATAACGTAATTAGATTTTTTAATGTTTAGAGATAATTTATTTGCTATTAACCGGTCATAAAGCTTACAGAGCTCATCGTTTAACGTAGATTCCAGGGACCTTAAGTTTTTATATGCATATATAAGATTCGTATCGTCTGCGAATAGATAAAACTTCATTCGGTTACAGCTATTACAAATATCATTTATATAAACAAGAAAGAGCAGAGGCCCTAGGACTGATCCTTAGGGGACCCCTGATAATACTGTCTCTTTCCTTGATATATTCAAGGAGCCAATTTCAGTTATTTGCTTACGACTAGTAAGGTAGGAGGTAAACCAGTCATTCACAATCCCTCGTAGACCATAATGTTCAAGTTTCTTTAAAAGTATTGAGTGGTCGACGGTATCAAAAGCTTTTTGTAAATCAATAAATATTCCACAGGTGTACAGCTTTCTATCCATATTAGTTTAAATTTAGTATTAACAAAGATTTAGTAATACGTAGTCAGGTAAAAACGAACGATATAATATCCCGATATAATATCCCGTATACATCATTTTTTCGAAGATTCGGTTGAAGACTGAAAGTAGTGATTTGGATCTGTAGTTGGATGGGTTAGATTCATTATTACTTTTGTGTATTGGGATAACTTTAGCAAGCTTTAGTTTAGAGGGATATGTTCCATGTTCAACACTCAATTTCAGTGTATGTTACTGGATTGAAAAAGAAAGAATCAGCATTACGTGATTTTGGAAGATAATAAAAAAAATTCCTTCTGCGAGTTTGGCATTTTGGAAGCTAGGTTATGACCAATTGAGGAAAAATTTTCATTCATAATGTCAGGAAGTTCTGAGGAATTCGAATTGTGTGAAATTTGATCAGATCCCGGGCGTTTGAGCGAGGTGATATGTTTGATAGCTTTACGTTTGCGACCTAAAAGATTGTTTATACCTTCCCAGGTCTTTTTGATGTTACTTAGATTATCTTCGAAATAGGTGTAGAAAAAGTTCCTTTTACTTATTCGTGTGAACATCAGTATTTTGTTACGATAAATTTTTTGGTTCTACTGTCGCCAGAATAATAGAGTGAATTCTTGATCTTAATTGACTTTCTGATACCTTTTGTTATCCAGGGTTTTTGTTGTTTTTTTAAACGACGTTTCGAAGTTGGCTTTAATGGGGCGTACTTATTTAGGAGCTTGTTTAGGTTATTGTAAAATGTAGAGAATGCTTTGTTTATGTCTGCTGTATTAGAAATTCTACCCATTAAGTCAATTTGAGATAGCTCACTTAGAAACTTTGTATCTGAGTAGTTTGAGAAGTCACGAGTTAACCACTTAGATTTCGCTTGATCACAGATATCTAGACTAATGGAAGAGTTTAGTTTGCAAAATTGAGAAAAGTGGTTTGTTAGATCCGAAACTATGTTACCACTGCAGATGCTATATTTAAGACAGTTAATAAAGATGTTGTCAATTAACGAGTAAGAATTGTTGTGAATTCTTGTTGGCTTGTCAATTGTCGGAGTCAGGTTTAGGCTTTGCAAAGATAGAATAAAATTTTGGGCGTGAGTACTAGTATGGACATGGAGGAGATTTATGTTAAAGTCACCCATGAGAATAATCCGTTTTCCAGTGGCGCTAAGCCTTTCCATTGTCGAATCAAAGTATTCCTGAAAACGATCAGGGGAATCATGTTGTCTATACAAGACTCCACATATTATATTTGTATTTTGGGGGAGATATAATTCAATAAAAAGTGCCTGGGAGGCTTGATTAGAACACCTCTCTATTGTTTGATAATGAAATCGCTCAACAATCTACATGCCCACACCTCCAGCTGAAAGAGGCGTTGGCAGGTATTCTTTTAAATACATTCTCTTGTGATACCGCGAAAGTATTCAGTATAATTTCTGGTAAGATTTTCGCGGACAATCTGATCAGTTTCTCTTACATTGTGTGCTGAGACTGAAACTTTTCACTTCGAACAAAGCTTCGTCGCACAGCCCAAACAAACATGGCGAGCAACAGAGCTTCTTGTATGAGTCCGTATTAAAACACACGAAAGGACTCCAAAGCATACTTCACTCTGATTGGGCAACAAAACACAACGATTTTCTGGCACCAATAAGATGCCAGAACGACTGCGACCGCTTGGAAGTAGTCTTGTATGACGATGTCCCCACCGGCTCTTCTGCCCCAACTTGAAATCGACTCACATCCCCTGGGTCTCCGAGGGTGTAGAACCCCCTACCAATCAAAAACAAAGCTGTAATCCCAAAGGTAATCTGTTGTTTTGCACCTGCTTTCTTTTATCCAAGAATTGTATGCATAATGAAGTAAGGGATTTCACGGAAATCTTTCCCCGTAACTTTGCCAGAACTTAAAACTGTATTTTTTCCCGAAAATAAACAATATACTGGAGTAATGAGTGACTGGGAAGTCTACCACATTTTCGTCAGAGTGAATTCGTAACCCGTTCGTTAAGTGCTAATGAGTTTGCCTCTAAATGCCATTGAAAAAACAAAACAAAACAAAACAAACAAGACAAAACAAAAAAAAACAACTAAGACTGAAGAGCTGTGAAGATTTCATCAAATAATTCTACACCGCTGAATTTCCCCGCAAAAATTCCCGATCAACCGATGGTGCAAAAGGTATTGTTGGTGACTGTAAAGTCCCAAAGATCAACTGAAATCCAAGTATGTTCTAAAGCACTACACACATGCAGGGACCTCCGTGATCTTTAAGCTCCACAGAATAATAATGTTGTGGTAAAACACTTGTTTTGAATAGGAAATAACTCGTGCGAAAAATATCTGCATGCGTCTCATTAGCATATGAAAACGAATTCGACGAATTCACTTGATTCAGTTTCAGGTTAAAACCTAATGCGAATTTCCTTTAATCGAAAACAGCGAAAATACGAACTCTAACAATGGATCGTCTCAATGAGTTAGTTGCACCAAAAACATTTCACAAAGTCAGCCGTGTCGCTCTTATCAGTTGGTACTTGATTGGGGTAATGTGCCTTGGCATTTTTTCAGACACAGAAAACAGCGAATCCAGGTATGATTTCCGCTGTGGTGGGGCGAAAACAGGAAACATCGACCTTGTCCGTGGAAAATGTTTCGAGCTGTAGGAGAAGCAGTACAACAAATACGGTGTCCCTATCTACAGTTTTGTAACCACTAACTTCGTCCTTATTGGAATTGTTTGTGCTATTTACTCCCAAAAAGTAAGTGCTATAGTCGATGATAACCTGTCGCCAAGCGCTCCTAACGACGGTATCCTCGAGGGACAGTCGAGCGAAAAAGAAAATGCATTATCCACTGAAAAGGAGCTGTTTTTTGCTTACGGCTTTCAACTCTTTATGAGGTTCTCGTTAAGAGTTATCTTCATAATGATACAAACTCTATGTCTCTATCCTTTAGACTTCCCCTCCAGCTTTTCTTGTCATCTAGAGAATTCTACTAGCGTCACACAAAACACCAAATCAACTTTCCACGATTGTCATAATCAACGAGCAACTAGGAAAAACTCCTGGAAGGGCGCCATTCTTGTTGTGAACGGAATTTTTCTCTTTGTCATTCTGATAGAAGCCGTTCTTATTTTGGTACGAGCATGGAGAGATGATAGTTTTATGAAAAATTCCAAGTTTGTTAAAGATTACCTAAATTCCTCTCATGGAAAACGAAAGCTTCGGAAATTTATCGAAAATACGAAGAAAAAAATTGAAGAAGACACATGTCGACTTCCACAACTCCAGTCGCTTTTTTCAAGCCCCTGGCAAGGACATCGAGCTAAACATTTGGATCTGGATAAGATTTTTACAAACCTGGACTTTGTTAAAGACCTAGTTAAACATGAAGGACAGGAGAGAGCAGAAGTCGTCGCCACATGGGGCGAGAGAAGCACAGATCCTGAAGAGCCGGTGCAGTTCCCAAAGAACATTGTTAATCACAAAAACAAAATCGTTTAAATTGTGGGTCGTCCGGGAATCGGTAAGACATTTTTCTGTACCAAACTTCTCAGAGTCTGGGCATCTGACAAAGAATTCCATAAATCTTCTGATGCTGAAATTCATTTTGATGTTGCTTTCTTCATCAAATTTAGTGCATTCAACACAGCAGCCGACCTTAGCCTCAGAGAAATGCTCACTTTGTCGGAACACTCCCCCTCAGATCGCATGGATGATGAAGTCTGGAATTACATCCTTGAGAACCCCGAAAGTGTTTTGTTTATGTTCGATGGAATCGATGAATTCAACCATAACTCGAAGATTGGCGACGAAAATTATCATCCTCAATTCAGAGCTCGCCCGGACGAGAAGATGCCTCTCTTCGCTCTCTATGAGAAGCTTGCGACTGGAAAACTTCTCGACGGAGCTGCTGTTTTAACAACTACAAGATCTGCGGCTTTGTCGTGCATCGAAAGGCTTCCTTTCGACAAAGTCTTCGAGATCATCTCCTTCTCTTTCAAACAAGTCGAAAATTACATAGAAAAATTTTCTGAAGACACGCATGGAAAAGAAACTCTACGGCGAACAATCTGGAACTGCAAGAACATCAGCTCTTTATGTTACATTCCTGGGAGTTGCTTCATCATTTGCTCGACTCTATTTCGAATGGTGAGTAACAATGGTTCTCAAAGTCCTAGACCAACACAACAAACAGATGTTTACAAGAAAGCAGTGAAAATTTTTTATCTGAGATACTGCAAAAAATTCCGCTACAAGAATTTCCCTAGAGAAGACTTAGAATCAGCTGATTTCCCCCCTGAAGTAGCCCCGGAAGTAGCAGAGACATTCGACAAACTGGAAAAAATAGCGTTTGAAGGAATTGTAGAAGGACAGCTGAAATTTGGAGGAAATGAACTACGCGCAATGGAAGACAGCCCTTTTCTTCACCGTTTACCCGACCAACAATTCTGTTTCATTCATTCAACAATGCGAGAGTTTTTCGCTGCGAAGCACCTGGCAAACATGAGTGAAACAAGATTGAGGTACTTTGTTTCTGAACACATCGCGGACGGCAAATGGAAACTGGTTTTACAGTTTCTAGCAGGACTAATGAATGATGGAGAAAGACTACCGAGCACAATTATCACAGACCTTCTTCCTCTAGAAACTGAAGAGAAAGAAGACGTATGCTACAACGAAGAGTGGACAGAGGATATGGAGCCAAGGAAAGTCACCTGCTGGCCAACTAAAGATAGATTACATTTAGCAGAGACATTAATTAAATGTTGTAGCGAAAATAGTAAAATGGAGCAAATAGTTCAAAGAAAACTTCAGCAAATTTACTTTACTTGTGTAGATATTCTCTCTTATCAACTCACACCTTTTGATTGTTCTTCATTAGTTTCTGTAATTAAGAATGTTCAAAACATTTCACATCTAGATTTGAGTCTCAAAAGGATTGGTCAGTTAGGATGTCTTAAGATTTGTGAGTTACTAAAATGTAGCAATTCTCAACTGAGCTGGTTAAACCTCTCATTCAATCAACTGACAGATAAAGAAGCAAAGGATTTAGCTAAAGCCATGAAAAACGACAACTGTCAGCTACGCTTGTTAAACCTCGAGGGAAATAACATCAAAGACGAAGGAGCTCAGAACTTGGCAAACGCCATCAGTAACGACAACTGTCAGCTACGCAGGTTATTCCTCACATCAAATAGCATCACAGAAACAGGAGCACAGCACTTGGCTGAAGCCATCAGCAACGACAACTGTCAGCTACGCACGTTAGACCTCTCATGTAACAAAATCGAGGACGAAGGAGCAAAGCACTTGGCTGATGCCATCCAAAGGGAAAACTGTCAGCTACGCATTTTAGCACTTAAAAGAAACAACATCACAAACAAAGGAGCAAAGCACTTGGCTGATGCCACCAACAACGAAAGCTGTCAGCGACGCACATATATCGACCTCTCACAAAATAACATCACCGCAGTTGCCAATGAGAGATGTGTTATCGATATTCCTACGCAGTAAGATCTCCTATAACGATAACAAACCATCCTGTAACAGTGACAAACCACAAACAAACAAACCACCCTGTAACAGTGACAAACCACAAGGAGAAGCAGCTTACATTACCATCGAAATGGAGGTTTCTAATCAGTCCACAAATATTTCATAAAACTAGTCAAAAAAAATTATGTTAATCACTTAAAAATTAAAAATGTGAGGTCTGTAACCAGCTCAGTGACAGGTACAGCTCAGAACTCAAAGCGTGAAAGAAAACCAACTTTGTGAAATGCTCACAACGGCGAGATTCTTTGAACCGGATCGAAATGAAGAAAAATGAACCATTGAACATGTTTATTCAGAGCAAAGGATATCACACAATTTCTTTTTCATGTTCGAACCAATTACATTGAAGTAAAAGCACAAACCTTACCGCGGAGAGAACAAACAGACCTCGGTCCTTTTAGGAAACTGTCATTTTATAATTGGTTAGTTTCAATCCTAAATTTACTGCTTGCTTCTTTATGTTCAATTGCGTCTGTGACAAGGAACAGGTTCCTGTTGAGTTTATTGAAGTTCTTTTGCAGATTATAAGCTGATCAAATGAGCAAATAAAGCACAGATTGCTTGCTAGAAACAAAAACAAATTTTTTTTTGCTCAAAGCGATCCGGTTCAATTAATCTCGTACTTTTCTGTCCGTGAAATTATGACCAAATTCAGTAAATTTATAAGTTCTAGCTTGCTTTTCAAAAGGCAAAATACCTTATTGCAGATTGGCTGTGTGAGACATGTCATTGATGAAATATTAATTTACACAACTAATGCAGGTTTCTGCTGTTGTTGTAAATACTAGAGTGTTTTGTACAAATTATTTAGGCTTGTTACTATTACCACGATAAAATAAAAGGTGTAAGACTAACTAAAGAAGGTGCAGCTACGGTAGTGTTCATATAAACTTTGATGATCACTCTCACCTTCGTATATGGGAATGATGATATACTAATCAGGTCAAATAGGTGATATTCGAATACAACAGTTGAGATTTCACTTTGGACTAGAGCTCCTAAGTTTATCAAGTGAATGCTGAATAAATCATGTAAGCAGATTTATACTTTGTGTTAAAGTCAATTTTGCTCCAGCTCATGGTTAGACAAACCAGACAAAGAAAGGAACCTTGCACTGATTTTGCAACAGAAAAAACTTGGACAAAGAAAGGCGATGAGAGAGGAAGAGGGGACGTGAAGTCTTCTTAATATGAAACAAAAGTAGAAATAAGTTATTCGAGAAACCTACCTCAAGTCCTCTGTTGAAGCTCTTCTCAGCAGTACCTTCTCTTCAGGAGGTTTGGGACCCTCCTTAAAGTCAAACTTTCCCTGTGTGAGATTGGGATACATGATTATAATTCCAACCCTATTTTAAACCTAGTCCAAAATTCCACACCCTGTCTCAAATCAACAATGAAACATCTTATTTCCTGGAATAACTGCCTGACCAGTTATTCAAAATTTTGGCCAAGACTTCCATGATGCACATGTTTAGTTTGGAGAATTTGGAATTGCATAGATTAATAATCCTCCAGTTGATATTGCTCCTTATTTCCCGCATAGTTATCTGCTTGATACCATATTGATATTGTTGTAAGAAAAAATTCTGTCTTGGTCACTCATGGAAGTTAAAGGATTAACACAGAACAAAGCTAACAGAGGAGACTATTAACTTTGATTTCCTCCATGAATTACAGTGCAGGAGCGTGTGTTTTGTTTGTAGGTTTTAGAGTTCCTAGGGGAGGGCGGGGAAGTAGTTGTCATCTTGAAAACTGACCCCAGAACACCTAGCGAACCCACTTCGGAGTCGGTTAACGATTCAGCTCGTTGGTTGGTTGCACGGCTTATCGATCCAAGCTTAAATCGATAAGGGTTGAGGGCGACGAAATGGAACTTTCGAGGCAAATTATTCTTTGTGGATTGAGGACTGAGTTTTTTCCTTCGGTTGGCTATCTAGGAAGATTATCGAACATGGCAGAGGGGCAGTTTGAGGGGATTTGAAACGTTCTAATTTTATTTTTTGGCCCGAACACTGAGACCATATCTTAGGTAGTCGACCGCCATGATTTCCAACCTTCGCATCTCTTTAAGAAGAGAAAACCAGGATTAAAATCATCGTTTAAATCAAGTTAAATCAGTAAACTAACGACACCAGCAGCAAACAACACACGTCACAGTATGGAATAAGGTAAGCAATTTTTATTGAATAATTTCACTTTTAAGCACCTCCATGGATATCTAGGAGAAAATCCCATACAAATCCTTTTTAATCGATATGCCATACAGTGTTCCTTTTGTGGATCATATAGAGAGCATGGGCTACCTGTGGACCAGGCTTGTTCGGGAAAAGTGAAATGAAAACGCAAATACAAACAATTAGCCAATATCCAGCCATCATGACCTCATGCTTTGTCAATAACCCATATTTGCTCAAAGGGTTTTTGGGTGTAGTCCGGAGATTATGTGAAAAATGAAAAACATCAGCTTTAATGATTAACCCTTTCCACCCTAGCATGTGGCATGTAGTTCTTCCGTAAATTTGCGATAAAATTTGGAGCAATGAGTGACTGGGAAGTCCACCACACTTTCACTGGAGTGACTTCGTAACCCGTTCGTTGAATGCTGATGAGTTTGCCTCTAAATGCTAACGAAAAATTCACATTAAGTACATCTTAACCGCTGAATTTTCCCCGTCATAATTCCCGATTAACTCATGCTGCAAAAGGAAATGATATTTGTCGGGTGGTGGTCATTGTAAAGTCCCAAACATCAGCGAAGAGGCGAAGATATTCAAAAGCACTAACCGCAGGGATGCACCTCCGTGATCTCTTAGCTACACAGAATGTTCTAGGCTAACTGCAGTGACAAACTTGTTTGGAACAGTTGAGTTCATTCAAATGTAAATCACTGGAGTGTGCCCAATCAGGTCACTAGACTGTATGTGTCTCCATGATTAGCATATAAAAACGAGTTACGCAAATTTGTTTCAACGTAATCGAAAACAGCGAAAATACAAACGCCAACAATGCTTATTCTCGAGGAATTACCTGCCCTTAAACTAGCTAACATAGTCAACCGTGTTACGCTTAGCGGTTGGTTCTTGTACGATGCAATTTTCATTGGAATCTTTACGGATACACTGGAGCTGAACAGCAAATTTAGGTCTCATTTCCGATGTGGCGGGGCGGATAGCGAAAACATTGACCTTGTTCGTGAACAATGTTCGAAGCTGTACGAGAAGGAGTATAACAACTACAGTTTTTCTATTGACACTTTCGTTTACACTAACCTCCTATTAACTGAAATTGTTTGTGCTATCAGTTGCTGTGTGATGGCACGCCTTATAGTCGGTGATAACTTGTCTCCAAGTGTTCGTTACAGTGACGAGGGAAAGTCGCACGACCAAGAAAATTCATTACGGAGTAGAAATAACTTGTTTATTGCTTACTGCTGCCAACTCTTTACGAGGTGGGTGTTAAGAGTTTTCTTCATGGTTATGCAAACTAATTTTCTTTATCTGGACCTTCCCTCCTTTTCTTGTCATCTAACCTTTGGAGCCTATCAGCCAAGGTATTCTTGCTACGGTGAAGGGGTCACTGCCAAAAACATCAAGATGAAAGTCATCCTAGTAGTGAACGGAATTTTTGCCTTAGGTATTCTGATGGAAGCTGTCTATATTTCACTACGAGTATGGAAAGATGATAGTTTTATTGAAAATTCCGAGTTTTTTAAAGATTACCTATATCTCTCCTCTCCAAAACGACGGCTTCGGAAATTTATCAAGAATGCGAAGAAAACAATTAAAGAAGACACCTGTCGACCTCCACAACTCCGGTCGCCTTTTTCAAGTATTCCCGGCGAAGGACAACCAGTCTACGCCATATCGGGTGAGAGAAACGCAACACTTAGAGGGCTGGAAGACATTCTCAATCACGAAAACAAAAAAGTTTTAATTGTTGGTCGTCCGGGAATCGGAAAGACACTTTGCTGTACCAAAGTTCTCAGAGACTGGGCATTTAACAGAATATTTCATGGATCGTCTGATGCTAAAATCCATTTCGATGCGGCTTTCTTTGTCAAATTTAGAGCATCCAATACAGCGGCTGACCTTAGCCTCAAAGAAATGCTCATGTTGTCAGAACATTCCCCCTCAAAACGCATCGATGATGAGGTATGGAATTACATCCTTGAGAACCCCGAAAGAGTCCTCTTTATTTTCGACGGAATCGATGAATTTAAACATAACTCAAAGATCGGCAAGGAAAATGAAGACCCTCAATTCAAAAGCCACGTGGACGAGAAGATGCCCCTCTTCGCTCTTTATGAGAAGCTTGCGACTGGGAAAGTTCTCAAAGGAGCTGCCGTTTTGACAACAACAAGACCTAGTGCTTTGCCAAGCATCGAAAGTCTTCCGTTTGACAAGGTCTTCGAGATTCGCGGCTACTCATCCGAACAAGTCAAAGATTACGTGACCACATTTGCCGGAAAAGACACGCGTGCGGGAGCAAGACTCTGGCGACACATCGGAGGCAACATCAGCATCCTCTCTCTATGCTACATTCCTGGGAGCTGCTTCATCATTTGCTCAACTCTGTTTCAGATGCTGAGCTTCGATAGTCTACCAATGAAACTAACAGACATTTACAAGAAAGCAGTGAAAATTTTTTACTTGAGACATGACAAAGAGTTCCACGGCAAGAATTTCACTTGCGATGACTTAGAATCAGACGATTTGCCCCGTGAATGTGAAAAGAAATTTGAAAGACTGGAAAAAATGGCATTTGAAGGAATTAAAGAAAGAAGGCTGAGTTTTGGAAGAAACGAAGTAGGCGGAATGGAAGACACCGATCTTTTCTACCGCTTACCCGACCGTCGAACTGACGGGTTAAAACGCGAGGAACAATTCTGTTTCATTCATTTAACAATGCATGAGTTTTTCGCTGCAAGGCACCTGGCGAACATGGGAGAAACAGAATTGAAGAAATTTGTATCTGAGAACATCGAGGACGGAAAATGGCAGCTGACGCTTCAGTTTCTAGCAGGACTAGTGAACGATAAAGAAAAACTACCGAGCAAAATTATCACAGACCTTTTTCCTGTGAAAACCGCTGAAGAAACAGAGAGCGTATTCTACAATGAAGAGTGGCCAAGGAATAGAGAGCCGAGGAAAGTCACCGGCTGGCCTACTGAAGACAGAAAACGTTTAGTGGTGACATTACTTAAATGTTGTAGTGAAAATAGTGAAATAACGGAAACAGTTCAGAGAAAACTTCAACAAATTTCCTTTAATTGTGTAAATTTTCTTTTTTGTCAACTCACATCTGCTGATTGTGCCTCATTAGTTACTGTGATAAATGTCCTAAAAATTTCGCATTTAGATTTGTTTACCAATAACATTGGTCCAGTAGGTTGTTTTGAGATTTGTAAATTGTTAGAATGTAGGGAATCTCAACTGAGCTGGTTAAACCTCACAGGCAATCAGTCGCAAGACGAAGGAGCAAAGTATTTAGCTAAAGCCATCAGAAACAGCAACTGTCAGCTACGTACGTTACACCTATCATTCAATAACATCGGAGATAAAGGAGCACAACATTTGGCTGAAGCCATCAACAACGAAAACTGTCAACTAAGCACGTTATATCTCGCAGGAAATGACATCACAGAAGCAGTTAAACAGCGTGTAAATAGTTTACTTATCGAGAGTAAGTGTATCCTTAATATATAGCACAACTAAAACTAAAGAAAAATATGTTAACCACTTATACTTCAAAAAATGTGAGGTAACCAGCCCAGTGAAATTACAACCCAGCAACTCAGTAGTTTTCTGATGAGTTTATTGAAGTTCGTTTGGAGATTAGAACTGAGCGGATCAAATGAGTAAATTAAAGACAGATAGCTTGCTTTCTTATTGGAGGGTGGCAAAGGAGGGGTGTCCAATCACACATCACGCTGAGTTTTTCCTTAATTTTTTTAACCAATTACGCGTCACGTAAAAAGGAGTAAGTACGCGTTGCTAATACTGTAAGATTTCAACCTATCGGATGCATTATTTTTTTTTATTCTGGAATGAATTATGTTTCACTAGTCATATTGCTTTTTTCTTAGACAAAGAGAGGGGTTTTACTTATTGAAAATTGACACTCCAACAGCGGTTACTCGGGATCGCAATATCCCTCGTGGGTTAGGGGGAGAGGAGGGCTGACATTCACACTACCTTGTAGATCAAAGAGCGTTCACTTATTACGGGAATCTAATTAGTAAGACGTGTAAATCACGCGTCACCAGCATGTAAAATAGCAAATCACGCCTCAGGTTGTGCTCTCCGGTTCCTCGTCACGCGGATAATTTGGGTTTAATCACGCGTCACGCTGCAAATTTTGAGGCCATCACGCGTCATGCAAAACCCCTTCGCCACCCTCTTAAAGAGTTGTGCTGTATTTTCTTTTGCAATCCAACCAATCTAGTTGAAATAGTCTCGTGCTTTCTGTCCATGAAATTGTAACCGAATTGTAATAATCTAAATTTTTGCATTTCAAAGACAAAAGACCTTTTTGTAGATTAGCGGTGTCAGACGTATCATTCATATTAATTTACATAATCATTTTCAGGTTTCTTTAGTTGTTGTTTATATTAGACTAAATATTACTATGATAAATTGTGTGGTATGAGACTTTTACTAATGAAGATGCTGCTTCGGTAGTGTTCGTATAAATTGCGATGATCACTCACAATTTCGTATTATAATCCGCAGATCAAATATATCTTATCAAATAAATGTTGAATAAATCATGTTAGGAGAATCATACTTTGTGTTGTAGCTAATTCAGCCCCAGGCTATGGTTAGACATTCCCACAGACAAGGGAACCTAAAACTAATAAAGAAATTGAGTTTGTAGCACCATGAAGAGAACTCCAAACACAATCCTCGTGAAAAGTTGACAGCGGTAAGTGATAAACAGCTTTTTTCCACTGGATAATGCGTTTTCTCCTTCGCGCGACTGTCCCTCGTCACCGTTACGAGCGTTTGGAGACAGTCTATCGACTGTAGAGCTCACCTTTAGGGACTAAATAGCACAAAAACTCGCAATGAGGAAGAAGGTATGGATTACAAAGCCATGGATAGGAAGACTAGTACTGTGTTTGTTGTACTGCTTCTCGTAGAGCTCGAAACATTGTCCACGGACAAGGTTGATGTCTCCACCCTTCGCACCGCCACAGCGGAATTGAAACCTGGATTCGGCGTTTTCCATCTCCAAGAGAATGCCAGAGAAGATTAGACCGATCGGAATCCAACAAATAACTGCGAAATAGCTGACTATCTTGAATGTTTTTAGCGCTAGTAATTCCGGCCTTGAGAGTATCCATTGGTAGCGCTTGTATTTTCAGCGAGTGAGTGAGAGAGGGAATGATTAAGTGACGGTATCAAAAGAATTCCGATCCTGACCTAATTTTGACCCGATGTTTCCGGGTGGTGTTTATTTTACATGCTGCTTTATTTTGGATTACTATAGACGACGATAAACATTTCACAAGAAATTTAGAATGGCGCGAAATATCTTTTAAGGTGCAATTGGCGCACAAGGAAAAGTACGAAGCAAAACACTTTTAATGAAGAAATGCATTTTGAATCAGCGAATTTCGCCCAGTAGATCCGAATATAATTGTTCAGTTCTTATCGTGACATCATGACAAAAGATGATTAAGTTTCTCAAAGTAATTTTAGAGTGACGTCCTCGGCACATAATCGAAATCAAGATTGTTCCATTGCAGTAAGTTTATTTTGCACATCGTGGAAAATTTAAAGAAAAACTTGAGCCCCGATTCAGACGCCGTGCTTCAGCCGAGCCGAATCGAATTCAACGAATTAAGTTCATGTGAAGTACGGCGTCTAAATCAATTCGGAACGGCTTATGATTTAATTTAGATCGGCTCGGTCAATTAATCCCGCCTGACTTAGCCGCGAAGAACGGCTGTAGACCGGCTTTGATTCAGACGCCGTACTTCACATGAGCTCAATCAAATGCATAAATTATTTAAAAGTATTTTTCTTGCCGCTTTTGCATGTGAGCATGTGCAAAGGAGTGTTGCAGAAGAAAAAGGGCGGCTTGAAA